CAAGAAAAGTGTAAAATGACTGTCATGTGGTGCTTTGTTCATTGTGCAAGTTGTTTGAGCACACTAACAGTAGTTGCCACGTACAAACAAGTCCCTGAAACAGTCTCAATCATGCAAATAGGGGCACATGGTGAGACAATGGCAAGTGTTATATGTAGATTAGCCTGTGAGCCAGACAGATTACAAGCTTATTTTCGTCATATTGCAAGGTCTGCCTTTCCTGCCGTTTCCGTATGGACAACGTGTTTCACTCAGATCCATTCACTGTAAGCAGTGCAAAGACCTAGGTAGCTGCCTCGTTTTCTCCCTGGCCATATATTCTCAGTTGAAACGTGTTGCCATTAGTTGAAAAGAAGTTTCAGGTTTGATGATATAGCTCTTTGGTCCTGTCTCTGTTCTGTGCCACAAACACAAAGGTCAGTTCCTGCTGAAACCTGATGTTCCACTTCCTCCTCTGGTCCTGACTTCCTGCTTTGGAGAGACAGGAAGCTCAATAGTGGCCCTTATGATGTCTTAACCAGTATGTTCCAGAGTAAAAGCAGATGTTGTTGATTATAGCGGCCATGAGCATAGATCTATTCATGTTTATACAGTTTTATGCTTAGCACAATATGGCATCCATTTTAATAACCCCCACTGTGACAGTCGTAGCTCCAGTGGTCCCTGTTGTCCAGACTTGATCAGTCTTTCAACTGGTTGGGTGTGTTTAGCTGAAGGTGGCATGATGAATGGCTGCAACTGCAGAGTGCAGACCCTGGTGCATCTCACATTCCTGGTAGATTCTTCCAAGTGAAGTTGTCAGACAGCCAAGCCGTAACACTGCAGATTTTCAGCTGGCCCTGGCCGTCAAGTCGGAGGAGCACTTGCAGAATCCTTGGCTGTGATCACACATGCCCACCCCTTGATTAAACACTCCCATATAAGCTATGTGGGGAACTTGTAGTCGGCCCTGCCTGTCCCTCAGCAGCTGAGCACTCAACTCTGCGCTGCTCAGCCCCCCGCAGTGTTTGTTCAGGGGGAGTATACTCCTGGGCAAGTTTTTGTTTCAAGGGCAACATAATATTCCAATAGCTCATCTGCAGCTGATACTTATTGTGTATCAACTCTCAGTTCCCATCTGTCTGCTCTTAAGTAAATGTAAGTGATACTTCTGGAGGCCATTATGTGTGTTTTTGCTGAAACTCTCTCATTTGACACTTTTCCAGCCTCTAATGGTGAAGCTAGTCCATGCTGGAAATGAAATTGTTGCAAAACTCGGTCGGCCCCTTACTTTGGTCAAGACTGAAATACCTCAACAATTGTTAAATGAATTTACATGAAATTTAGACATTCATGTTCACCAGTGGATGAATCCTACAGACTTTTTGTCATGTAGGAGTGTCAACCTCATGGTGGCAACCATGAGGTTGACACTTTTGTTATTGGGTGAAATATTTTGAAAATCTCTTAAAGGGTGGCCATTAATATGTGCTACAGATATTTACGCTCCCTGATAAGAATTCTAATAACTTAGATGATCTTCTCACTCGTCATCTACCACTATCATCAGCTCTAAATTTGAATTTGTCCAATTCTTAGCTTTATGAGCAAAAACCTGAAATATGATTGCAATTCCCATTAGCCTTAGCTGTAGTTTGTGTTCAGGGCTGGTTAGTATTAGCATGTTAAGAGGCTAAACTTAAATGATGAACATTGTAGATATCACCTGCAAAAGCATAACAGCATGTTGGCAGTCTGATGCTAGCGACGGCCTCACAGGGCTGCTAGCATGGCTTTAGACTCTTAGTCTTGTTGCTTGTATTGAATTTGTTACCAGGCGACTTCAGCTTGTAGAAAACTCAGCTTGGAAGAGCTGGAAGGACTTTGGGCATTGAGAATCTTCAGTCATTAAGATAGATAGTTGTGTTTCCAGTTAGGACCCCCTCCCTCCATCACTCACCAGCCCTCTGAAGGCAAATACTTGGCACCCCATCTTAAAGCAAACTCTTTGGATCTACCAGTTTCCTTGGTGCTCTCAGCCATCTTTATGTGGTCTCCGTTTTTGTCCGCCTGGTTTCCTCTGAGTGCCACTAGAGGTCACAGCATGGGCCTCACAGGCTTTGTTTAGCCTCATAATGGCTCTATTCTCCCACAGCAGCACAGACTTCCAAGCCTGCTAGACATAGGACACCATTGTGACTCACAGAGGTGGTAACATGAGGAAGATGCACAGAGGCATGAGAGTGTCCATAGGTGCACACGTAGAGTAAAGTAAATAACTGTTTAAGAAAATGATGAAATATTCACTAGTTCACACTCACAGTGCTAGTTTTACTGGTAAGAAGTTGCTTTATTATTGTCTATTAGCGATGATGACTTATTCACATGGTTTCACTAAATGTAATAAGCTGACCACAAAACATCCATTCAAAGTCCTGGTCCACTAGAAGCAAATAGAGAAAGTTGTGGTAAATTTTGTGAGTGTCCAATTACAGTAATTACAGTAAAAATAAGCTACTGTGTAATGTGATATGTCGTCTTTTATTATCTGCCCACAAGACGTTCTAGAGAGCTGTATCCAAATTTGATTGTGCTGTATGTTACTTAAGTTGTGTACATTTAGTTAATTACCTTCACATACACATTATCTGCTATCCAAACTAACCAGGTGACTTTATTCATGTCATGTTGGACATATTTGAGCGGGGCATAATGCTCCAACACGAGCTATATCTGCTCAGGCTTGTTGGTTCATTTAAAATACATAAATGTCTTTTTGGAAGTTCATGTTCCAGTTAGAAAATTTTAACAGCTCCATATAGTCGCCTTAACAAAACCTCCCCCTTCTTCTCATGTGACTGAATCAACACCAACATGGAGAGGGCGATCACAGAAACGCCTCAAACCAGAGGGAAACAAAAGCCCATAACAGTGAAGTTCCTGTCACTGCCCGTCCTTTTTTTCCAAACCTCTTATCCTGTTCAGGGTCACAGCGGGCCGGAGTCCTCACTTATTGAGCAAGGGAAGTCCAGTCTGTCACAATATACGGACAACATATGGACAAACCTTTCTTTAGACAGACATGGAGATGTAAACTCCACACAGGAAACCCTCTTGTTGCTTTAAGGTGACAGTGACTGAACCACCATGCTGCCCAGACCCGTGTGTGTAGTTTTATATTATCCTGTAGTAGAGTTTGGCTTTTCATCTTAACGTGGCTGGAGTTGATTTGAAGATTATTGTCTAGATGGTATACAGAGATCTTTCCAGTAGCTGCTCATTTTGTTAGAAAAGTTGGATTTTATTTTGGGTCTGTCTCGTTACATGCAGTTTACTGTTTGTCATTTTATTTTGGCTTTTCTCTCATTAATTTGATGCACAAGTTATTTCATAATCAAAACGTTAGGTTTGTAACAAAAGGCTGAAAATGTCAAATCCTAGTCAGCTGTATACACATAGCTACATTACTACACCCACTTCAAATTGTTTTGCATAAATACTGTATATATTAGGGCTGCAACTAACAGATATTTTCGTTGTCAGTTAATCTGACAACTGTTTTCTCTGTGAAAGGAGTAACTGTCTGTAAAAAGTGGAAAATGCCCATTATCATTTCCCAGAGTCCTGATTTGATCTGATTATCATACCAACACCCGAAGATTTTCAGTTTGCTGTTTAATATTTTTTAAACATTATTCTCTGTTAATCAACTAATCGTTACAGTTCTAGTCCATATTTTTTTTCTTAAGCTTTATATGCATATCCTCAAAGCAGTAATCAACTCTGTAATGTAACAGACTCTAAACAAAAGACTTTAATTGAACGCACATTTTGTCCTAAATTCTGTCTTGTCTTTCAGCAAAGGAATGAATCATTGCTGTTGTCACTGATAGAAAACAGAAAGAAAAGATAGGAAATACTGAAAGAACTGAGACTAAAGAAAGAAGAGTGACTAAAGAAGAAAAGAAAACTTTCCAATGGGCTTTCATTTTTTCCAAGTAAAGTCACTCATAGGCAGGACACACAAAATTACATAGCCTTGTGTCTGAGAAAAAAGCGGAAACAAAAGTATGTCACATTCCAATGTTAGGGAGAAAATAGATTTAATTTGGGGACAGTTTCAGGTGAAGAAGCAGAGGTGGCAGATCGACACAAGAGAGGAAAAAGAATGATCTGGCAAGTAGCAAAGAGTAAAGGCAAGACTGAATGTTCCTGGCTGTTTGTCTTGAGTAGAAAACGTGAGTTAGCTGTAATCGGATCTCAGCTGTGGTGAGATCATACACGAGGCCTGCCAGCAGCCTCACAAAGAGCGGTCCACCCATAGGCCTTGAGCCCCACTGCAGCGCCCTGTGGCTCCCTACAGGCCTGCCAGCTTAAATATCATATATAATTTTTCAACAGTACGAGATGGTTTTCAGAGGGCGGTAACATTTGTTGCTCTGCAGTAATTTTGGACAGTGTGTGTCCACTAGTAATTATCATCAATGAAGTGTATGTTTGTATCTTTACAGTAAGCAAGGTGGTTAAGTAGGAGGAACATCCCAGTTATAAAAAAGAAAAAGTTTTCAAATTACTTACAGACAACATTGCTCGGCTCTTTTCTCCTTACCGTGTAATTCTTAAAGGAGAGTTAAAACTAGATTATTTTAATTGTGTTAAAAGCTCATTAAGTGAAGCCAAATTGCTCTCGTCAGGTGACTGACTCTTCATGACTGTCAAAGTTGGATAGGGGGTCCTGGCCCATGGATTATAGTGACTGAATGAGCTGCTTGTGTGTCTTCCCAGGCATACAGGATTGCACTGAGTTGCATAGTGTTGTGTGTTGAGTTTGTGACAGCTGCACATACAGAGCGGCGAGGAAGAAGTCACAGTTGGCCTGAAGATTACACACTTCACCTTTACCCCTGGAGTGTTGATCAGGATATTTTATTTTAAACTTGACTGAGGTTCAGCCGCACTTTTTTTTTTTTTTTTTTTTTAAATCTTTCCTTAGTTAATCAACGTTTTCTCTTCTCTTACAGTCCCCAAACCTGCTCAGATGGACATGAGATAACACCACCAGAAGTTCAACCCTTGTCCGGAGCTTCAGCCAACCCCCGCAACCTCCCATATTCAGCCAGAATGGCAGATCCCACCGGGCTGAGCCCTGAAGGGGCGGGGGCGGGCATATCTGAGGTCAACGCCTGTAGCTTGGAGATAGAGAGGAAGTATGATGTCATCCCTGCAGTCATCTGCTCCATGTGTTGCCTGTTCGGCATCATTTACTGCTTCTTTGGTGAGGATCCCTGCCCTGTTACATCAAGCAAGCTCAAACATAGGATGACATAACACAGTCAAAATGTCACTCACTCTTAATTGTATACATATGCACCAATAGATGTAGATTATGGTTATGTAACGGGGTAATTGCTTTTTATTCTATTCCCGCCAACTCTGTTCATCATTGTAGATCTCTTCGGTGTCTCCTCTTCCAGGTTACCGCTGTTTCAAGGCTGTCATGTTCCTGTCAGGCCTGATGTTCGGCTCTGTCATCATTTTCTTGCTGTGCCACAAGGAGCACGTGCTGGACACCCAGCTGAGCGTCGAGGCCAGTGCAGGAATCGGCCTCGGTATAGGCCTGCTGTGCGGTCTGGTCACTATGCTGGTGCGAAGTGTCGGCCTCTTCATGACTGGCCTGCTGTTGGGACTCCTCCTGGCCCTCGCTGCTCTGCTCGTCACTCACCAGTTCTACACTCCCACCACAGTCTGGGTGCCGCTGGGTGCTCTTCTGGGAACCGGCATGCTGTTCGCTGTGCTGACACTGCAGTGGCAGAAGTTCTTCACCATGCTCTCCACGGCTGTGTTCGGGGCAGCTATCATGACTGTGTGTGCTGATTATTTTGTGGAGATGCTGGCACTGGCTACACATGTGTATGAATGCTTGCGCCTCACACCCGGGCCGCCTCTCTGCTGGTACAGCTGGGTCATCCTTGGCATCTGGCCCGCCCTCAGCCTCATAGGAGTCCTGGTCCAGTGGAAACTGACAGATGACAGCTTCTCACACACTGAGGGTAAGGATGAAATGTCATGACTCTGTGAGTTCTGTTGTAGTGAAGGGTCAGGACCTGTATTTATCAAACTTCTTACACTTCTTACAACATGAATGTGCTAAAGACTAAAAGAAGAAGTAAAAAGTTCTTCACTGAGTGTGAAGAATAAGACACATTTATCCGGCGACGACCTACTTAAATGAAGGAGGATTATTCAAAGGCAACTTTCAAGCACTCACATGATTAATCACATCTAGGAGTATTTACCCTACATCTGACCCTTTGTTCTTGCTTTAGGAAATTCTGGGAAATTATAAATATATCTACTAATAACTACCATGTAAAATTGACAATAATCCAATTTATTGATTACACATAAATGTATAAACAGGGAAATAGAAAATGAAATGGAAACAAAAAGAAAACCAACCTGGAGCAGAAATGCTACTGGCAGATGAGGCACAGCAGAGAAATCAGATACTAAGGAGAAGTTAGTGCCATACTTACAGTGAAGCTGCATCGTGATGCAAGTGATTGCAAAGGAAATCAATGCCAGCTTTATTCTTATAAATACTCATGACCACTTCAAGTTCACTCATCTGTCAGTCTCTGTCCTGCAGTCATTTAGTATCTTCTCTTAACCAACCTTACTTATACTTAAATTTCTGAATAGGTGTAAAACTGAACAATTTCTACTTTAATCTTTCACTTAGATCCAGAATTTTACTCTTTACAGGCCCAGATATTCTAGTCAGGATTTTACAGGTATGCCTCATTTCATGCCTTTGAATTTGCCTTCTCCTCTTAGTTGTTATCAGTCGGCGACAGAAGAGAGTCCAGCTGATGCGGATTCGAGAGAAGGACGCCAAGAAGCGACAGCAGGCAGGTGGGCAGGAAGGCACATACCGTCGTAAACCCACCCCAGTGAAACGTTACGCTGGGGACCTACTGGCACCGGTCAGTGTCACCCAACAATGGCGTGTGCTGTAGTTGCTGATTATTTTTATGTCTACCAGTAAGACCAAAATAGTAAAAAAAAAAAAAGAAAAGAAAAAGAAAAAAGAAACAGGCTTGTTTCTAGGTTTTTTTCATGTTGAAACCATTTTTGTTACCTCACTCATCTCTCCCTGTGTTGTCCTTCCTCTAGAGCTACCTGCAAAGTCTGCGGGACAGACAGATGGGCACAGGCACTTCCCTTAGCAGCCTGGGCACTGCCAACCACACCATGATCGACTTAGACTACGACACCGGCTCCACTGTGCCCCTCACAGCTACAACCCCAGTCGTCAGGGTCTGAGCAACACAGAGATAACAGAGAAGAGACTACTTAATGCTCTCTGGTTCCTCAACAGTGTCTCCCTAATGTAGAGTAGAACCTATAAACTGCTCCACTCAGCGAAGGGTTTTTATCACCCTTAAACTGATTTGGAGCGAGGATGGATTTTCTCCTATCAGCGTGTGAGTCCTGGGTGATGGTGAAAGAGAATGCTGCTTTTTTGGGGGGAGAAAGCAGAAGTGTCAAGCTCCTGCTTGGTGACTGCTACAACCACTACAACCACTGTGTTTCTCAGAGAAACACTTAAAAACAGATACTAACAAAGTAAAGTGAGGTCCTCCATTTCCTTACATTGTGTATTAAATACATCACAGCAAGTACGAGCCGCAAAAACAGATGTTTTTCTGTTTTGGTAGTGAATATGACAAATCCATTTGTTTGACATGACATGTACTGTACTAAAAAAGTTAGTCATTGCCATGAAGTGTTGTGTTATTGCCTGGCTTACTGTGTAACTGTGTTGTCATAGGATTTATGATTGTGTGTTACCTTTTTAGATGAAGCATGTTTCATGGTGAGTACATGTAGATGGATACATGGCGATGAGTATGTAAGTGAAGCAAAAACTAAATGATGCAAATAAAATAAACCGTTTGTATTTAAAAAGCTCTTTGCATGAGCTTTTAGCAGGAAGCTTTGTAGCAGCTCTCTAATAATTCTGTCACCTTTTTTGTTTTTTGCAATGTAGCTCCTGTCAGAATACAGTAGGTGAAGATTTAAGACTGTTGCTTGTGGAGTAAACATTTTATAATTTATTTTATATAATGACCATTACCTGGTAGTGTTGGAAAAAAAGGACAAAAAAACAAAGCATGTTTGATGTTAATTTGTAGATTTTTAAATAATTATCCACTTTGTTGTTTGAATATTTTGCAGGGGCACTTGTTACCTGAATGTGTACATACCTGTTGATAGAAATTTCAAAGATAAATAAATGTGTTTGATACAAAAAAGTTTTTTACTCATCATTTGAGTCAGATCAGTTGCACTGTTTGTCTCTTAGGGCTCTTAGCAACACTGGCAGCATTACTGGCCAGAGTTTTCATAGGCAATAAAGAGGTCATGGGGAGGATTTCCTACTCTGCAATTGGTCGGGGTTGCCATGGCGCTTCTAAAGTTTTTTTTTTTTTTGCAGACAAACACAATGCAGGACAGACCGGCCTTTCATCATAGCGAACATTAAATCGTTTTCTATCCTTTTTGTGGGAATGTTGAGCCACTTTTCTGGTGACAGAGCTCTGAATCAGACAGACCGTTTTACTGCAGACAGTAGGTTTTGTTTAATGTTACAAAATGTTAGATTTTCATTTAAAAAAAAAAATCAGGACACAGATCCATGCCACATGATTTCTCACAGACCAGTGTGATACATGAGATAATGGTGTAAGTGTTTAGTAACAATGAAGGGCAATGAACATACTTAAGAAGTTGGTTCAACAAAATGTTACAGTCTGAAGAGAAAAGTGCACACTCCCATCATCATATTACATCGTACTGAAAGCATTAAGACATAATCCAACACATATGTTAGAGAGAAAAACAGAAGGCCTCCCTTGATTTCTCCCTGAGATCATAGCTCAGCTTACATAATTCTCACAGTCACAAAAACACACATTTTGTGCTTAAGAAGTAAGCCTCACAAGAATCAGCCTGCTTTGGAGGGAACGAGTAGCTCGATTGTTATCAGATCCAGTGAAATAAAGTCAATTCACACACTATTCTTTTTACCTGTTAGGTGATATTTCACAATTGATCACTGCTATTGAGGTTGCGTGGTTGTCAATGCCCTTGGAGTGGAACCAGCACCCCTGCTGTAGACCTCTTAGCGCATACTGCCCCCTGATGGTTGCACACCTAGCATCGCATCCAGCGCTCCTTTTTGCTCAGTGGGTATCCTTTCTCGACTCTCAGCAGCTCATTCACTCTCCAGTACTCGTCTCCTTTGAAGAAGAAGATCTTGCCATTGGTCCAGGTGAAGGCGGCATCCGGACTGGACGGCACTCCAGTGAACAGCATGGAGAGCGGTTTGGGGTAGATGCTTAAGTCATTGTACCGCAGTTCATCCCACTGCCAGTGCTCTGAACCCTAAACAGGCAGACAGAAAAAGATTTGTGATTTCTGCAAGACGAGGTATGAATATTGACCCATTTATATGTGAGAATGCTGCTGCTCCTCATAGTTTGATCATAGATACCTTAATAAAGATCATCTTCTTGTTCTTCTCCAGGAACAAGGCTGCATCAATATTAGGAGGGATCCGTTTCACCTGTTTGGGGTAGCCGTAGTCCAGCAGGAACTTGGTGTACCTCCACACTTTATTTCCTGTGCCCAGAAAGAGTCCAACATTCACACAAGTCCAGAGAACTGAAAGTAGTATTAGCAGTAGCACTAGGCAACAACTTTACCTTTGAGAAAGTAAGTCTTGTTGGTTCTCTGCGAGTGCACAGCAGCATTCAGGTTCCCAGGGAGTTCCCTCCACAGCCTGTCGATTTTTATGGGTGTGTTGTGTCCCAGATCAGAGATGGTCCACACGTAATCACCGCTGAAGGCAAAGGTTTTCCTCCAAGGACCTGATTGAACATACATACAATACAGTGACACATCCTGTGACTTCTCAAGCCTGTTATCAAAATGGTCAACAAATCGCCATTGTGAAAACGAGATTTGTATGACTTGCTTCAAAAACGCACATATCAAAATGTTCAGAACTGTATTGTAGCTCACCAGTCTACCCACTCTAAATCCAGTGTGTATATTTGCTGTGGTCTAAAGTCAAGTCAAACTACAGTGCAGGCAGCTAGGGCTTCTCCTGTAATTACTTCTGTAGCTTACCCAACATGATGGCATCCAGTGCGGCAGTGCAGGGGTCAGGAATGCTCTCAGTATCAAGGCTGCTTTCTGTGGCAAATAGACCGTCTGTGGTTGTTGGGCTGGCTAAAGTGCCGGTGATGCGTTTGCCTATAAAACAGAGAAGAGACAAGTTGTAGCATGAATGCACGCTTTCCTTATTTTGACACTTTAATGCTACCTGAATAATGTTTCATTCCAGACAGATAGAATTTAAACAGTCAGACTTTTGCATGTGTTACCTTGTGGCCTGTTCCAGCCAAGAGTAGAAATAAACTTGTCAGTGGACAAACTATTTAATGTATTTAAACTACCTCTAATTTATCTTTGGTATATTTTGTTGACACTTATTGACCAACATACAAAGCAACACAGGCCTGGAAGCTTATTGTCACTCGTTGTTGAGCTCTAATCTCAAACCACAAAGCAGGACTACAATCATTCCCATAACCACTCTTTTCAGAGGACAAACGATGACAATGACACCCTCAGCAAGGAGACTAAAGCCTCATGAGGAGGTTCAGGATAGCTCTTGTTATTATATCTGGAGGTGAAGGTGCTGATGCAATACCATCAATATCATAAGGATGGCTCCGCTCCAATCTCGACACCATCATGTTACTGGGCCTTCTTGACACACTCACCGTATAACGCCTGGATGCCGATCACATCATCTGAATGCAGCCTGAAGTTGACACGGTAACCAGAGTAGACCGGTGCCATCAGAGCACTCCTGAATTGAGAGTGACCCAGGCCGAGGGCATGGCCGATTTCATGGGCAGCCACAATACGCAGATTAGTACCATAATATGTTCCCTCCGTCCAGAACTCATCCTCGTCAAAATGAACAATACCAGATTCTGGCGACTCAGCATGGGCCAGTACATGACCTGCAGATGGTACAAACAAACAATTTAAGTTTTGTGTTTCAGGGGCCAAGTGACAGTAGTCGGCATTGTTCAATAGTGAAAAAAATACCTATATTAATAGAGAAAACTCACCACGGCCATCAAACGGGACAGAGCAATAACCATCTTTCTTATGGAAGGAGATCCTTATGTCCGCTCTGCCGTAGTCGATCTCCCTGAAGGTCAAAGCAGCCACATCACTCCAGTAGGCGAAGGCAGAGCGGATGGCTGCCCTGACTTCTGTCTTCTTCATGTCAGGTGTGTAGTTGTAGATGCGGTAGGTCAGACTCCTCTTTCTCCAGCGACCTGAGAGAGAGGAATCCTTTTTTTCTTAAGTCACCACAACAAAACAGCAACATGTATCAGGTGCACGGATATAGTTTTTTGCCCCACAACAAATAAGAGGATTATTTATATGTTGAGTGCCGGATTTTTGTTGGTAAGGTCTGTGTGTGTGCTCCTCTGCCCTCTAGTGGCCAAACAGTGATTTATGTAGCTTTAAGTAGTTATTCAGATCAGTCAGTGATTAACCAGCCCTGTCTCATAGAAATGACATTTATATACAAATCGTTTGCAGCACCAAATGCATTTTGAGGGAAACAAAAGAGACTGAAATTAATTTACGTATTTGGCAAGTCACAAATATGTTGGTACTTAATGTACAGTAAAATGTTCACAGACAACACTCTTTTTTTCCTGCCAAAATATCTGCTCTTGCAGGACAATATAAAAAAATAAAAAAATAAACTGCATTATTAAACTTTTTATGTTTAGGCACTCATAGCACTTTGTTAAGGAAAGATTGTGGTCTGGTTTAATTCAGAAAAAGTTCACACTTGACCAAAACCTCAATCTTTCTCTAAAGGTGTGTTTGTTTGTTTTGTTGTTGTTTTTTTGTTTTTTTTTAAAAGCCATATTTGTGAAGTTATTTAAGTGAAATAAATGTTATAACCACTGATGTTCAGACTTTGTGACTCACCCATCACTCTGTATTTGTTAAACTTCTTGTTGAAGGGGTCCTCCATGCCACAGCGTGGCTGTCTCATCACATCCAAGGTAGCTTCATCTAATTCTCCAGTAGATGGCAGATCATTCACCCTCTGAAAAACCCTGGAGAAAGTAGGTGATTGAAAATCTGCAAACTGATTTCACAAAAAAAAAAAAAAAAGATGACCCACATTCTCCTCCACTGTATCAGGGAGTAGCGTGACTTGCTACCTGTGTTGCCCCCTGAAAGGGAAATTGTCTATGTTACCTAAGAGCGTCAATGATCTCCTCCAGGTAATGAGGGTCCTGTGGATCAGCAGGGTCATTCAGGTAGCCATATTGCCTCAAATAAGCCTGTAAATGTACAAGCAGAGAAATAAAGCTCTCATGTACTTAAAATAATACTGTAGCCCAACTTATTTGGCACAAAAATGAAAAGACCATGTCTGTGTATACAGTATATATTCCTGCTTAGATGAGTCAAAAGCATCATGTGAATGTCAGAATTCAAACAGATGACAGAACAAACTCTCATCCTACCGTTGCTTCATCTAATTCTGTCCATTGCACCACTGCACAAAATGCTCCACTGAGGTTGAGCACCAGAAGCAGCACCAGCAGCCCTTCGTAGTCCATTTTCAAGTTTTCATCAATGGTTTCCGTCTCAGATATCCAGGGCGGATGCTTTAAAGCTGGAGAAGTGCTCGGCAGAGTCCCACAGCAGACTCTGTTTGTTCTGTGAGCGCTCCAGCAGTTTTAAACTCAGCCCGGCGCATGAGTCAGACCTGTGGCTACGATGATCCACCTCTGAAGAATGAGGATTTCAAGAGCAGCCAATTGACCTACAGCCAACATGTCTGCTTTTAAATTGTACAGCTGTTCAGAGGGGACGTGGAGCTCCAGCAGGAGTCTCAAGCAATTTATAGAGTCGACAGGCTGTAGTCAAGTCTACAGTAGTAGGGTTCAGTTCAGCTTTTTACAAACCACTGAGCAGAGGGCGCTCACCCTGAACAATCACTACCCCATTCCCATATTATTCCTTCAGGATTATGGCCTTTTTGTTGATCCCCTGCTGTTAATACAGTGGTGTTGTGTCCAAGGTATCACAGTTAAATTATGGGCCTAAACCGCAGGAGGTGCTTCACCCTCCATCTTCACATTCCTGTCATCCCCATACACATCCCATTTGGAACAAATATTTGTGTTTGTAATGTAGCCATTATTTTACCCATCCCTGCTGACAGCTAACCAGGAATAGGCATCAAACTGTTGAAATGCAAACAAAGAAACAGCCATCAGACAGTGGCTAAAAAGTCACTAATATGCTCACTGGGGACCCACAGAGAACTACACCCAACTCTCAAGCTTTTTAGCTTCTTTTAGCTCTTTTTTTTTTTTTTGGTTTGGTTTCAGCTCTAGCCTGCAACTGTTTTAGCAACAAAAAAAACAAACAACAAAAGCTCTTGCAAGCCCACTACATGCTATTATCCCATCACCAAAGAAGACAGATAAAGTTAGTGACTACCTAGTGAAAGTTTAGCATGGAGTTGAGAAAAGAGCCAAATATTTTTCTTAGGAGTTGACAGGGACAGTGCTGGAGGGAGAGTGGATACTTAAATAAATTCAGTGGCCAGAAACCTGATTCCACTGATAAAGTTACTTTGTGTCTGCTGGAACTGTTTTGCTAACATGCTAGCGATAACATAAGGTGATAACATGTCAGGGCTGTGGATTTGTCAGACTTTTGTAGCGTTCTTCTTCTTCCCCATAGAGGCCAGAAATTAGGCTTTAAGTCAACTCTGAATTCTGATGGGAAATATAATTTACATGGTCACAAGATTAGAAATGGAGCTTTAAGCATTGAATATTTCTTTTTGATTCCGGCAAATAAAGATTAGTTACAAGTTACAGGTTTATATACTGTATATAATGATGTCAGAGCAATTTGTGCATCATATGCCCTTTTATTTTTAAATAATTGAGTAAAGAGTAAAGAAGCTATTCTGCTGATGCATGTTGTTTAACTTCCAAGAACTGGAAGTGCAAGTTTGGGTGCTTAAGTGGGATGACATCTTGTTACCATTTCTGTCAAGGGAAGATAATTTTAGTTGTGGCATTGTCAGCCAAATTTAATTCCTGCTAGATTCAGATCATCTGAGGACAACAGCAGTGTTTTGTGATCACTTAAGTTATGTTTGCAGGTGTGTAGATTTCATCCAAACCCTCAAGCAACATGAAGTCCACATAAATAATAAATATTCAGTTTAGGTTGATGTAGTCGTACTCTTACTGAGCATTTGTGCCTACATTATAACCTTGCAAAGTTTAGGACTGTTGTATGAAAGGGATTTATATGTTACAGTAGTATTAGCTGGTGAAACAGCTGGTCTCAAGATGTCAGTGCATGGTTAGCATCATGTGGCCTCAGAAGTACACAGACTAAAACCTGAGACAACACAGTAGCACTATAAACTTCCCTTTGTATGCCAACTGCAGAACTTGCATCCAAATTTTACAGGAGGGAAGAGAAATAACTTTTTCATCTACTGTCAATTATAATGTGATATGACACCCTAAACTCAGAGCAAAGTAACTGTAGAAAATTTCCATGCTACAGAAGGTGTTAATAGGCCCTGGCATTTATCTGCATATTAGCATTAAGTTAAGAATTACTCAGCAGACAATTAGGCAAGGCTGTGTCATTTACACTCCCTTTTCCTTCAATCATTTTCACAGAAAAACCTCCAACAGCCGTATTCTGCCTCCATCCACATGCTGCACATTCCTCACTGTATCACAACTTACTGCAGAGTGAAAATAAATGAAAGCTGTTGTGCACTGGTTTGCATTTACCACCAATGTGATACAATTCTCTGTACTTGCTGATCTAGGGAACAGTGAAACTAGTCAGAGTCGGCTTCATCTGTTTCCTGTCACTGTTATGGCAGGATGATTATTAGTGACCATGAGAGAAAAGGAACAGAAAGCATGAACAAGCAAGGCGTTGGATCCGAGCAATGAGCAAATAGAACATGTAAAAATATGGTTTTATACAGTGATGCGATTTGTTAAGTCTCATCAAAATAAAGCGAACGGATATTTGTCATTTTGCTGCTGACTTTACTTCCCTTTTCCTTCTGTCATTTCTCCTAAGTCTTGGTGAGTAGTACATTGTTGTACTCATACCAGCATCATGGCTTTGTGTGAAACCAACATAATAAATTCATTCTCACAGCTTGGGTCAATTGCAGTACTATATAAATGTGCTGTTCTACATCTGTCCGACGCAGTTCTGCTTACCACAGTTTTAGTCATTTATGAGTCAGGGACCAGAGAGAAAAGTTTATAACAAACATGACTGCCAGAGAACCTCCCCAGTAGGTCAGTCTCCTCGAGATACTGATAAACAAATGAGTCCCACTGCATTTATCATGTATGGAAACTACAGAAATATACAAGGTTTTATCATATTAAAAAACACCTGCAGTCAGAGAAAACGTGGAAGAACATCCATATCACTTTAATCCTATTCAGAGTGTAAGGCCGGGCTACTCATGATGACAACATTGTAACTCCCAGTTCATTAGTTCCTTAAGAAATCAATCATCTGTTCCAAGGTGAAAATGTAGTTTTGGACTAAAAACTGCTCAAATTGTTGTAGATTTGACCACATACTTCTGTTGTTTTTTTTTCATAATTGTCTGTCCCAACACCTCATCTTCTACATTAAATTGTCCTCCCTTCCTTCCTCCTGTCACCTTCTTGCCAGCTGCAACATCTTTTTATAGCAAGCTGTCTGAGTCAGTTCATATCCTGTTTTCTCTGTTACCACATCTAAGAATCAACAATGTAAAAAAGATAGCTAGAAACCTTCATAAGTTTTACAATTCGAATTTACTTTGGTGCCAAAGACAAAAATCCAGGATATGACCCCTGAATCTGGTATCACAATGTAATAATACATACATTGTAATACATTTCAGACAGGAAAAACAGACCCTGCATCACATATGTATAGACCTCTCCCACACCTTCTACAAAGGAGCAAGACACCCAGACTCAGAGACACAAAAGAACTGATTGTGTGGTTGTTTTGTGTCTCCTGTGGTTATTTGCAGCTCTTTGACTTTAAATAATTCTAACACACCAAATGTTTTTAAGTTTTTTCATGTCTGTTCACAAAACAAGAGCCAGTCTATGTGTTGTATGGTAGTGACTCTAAGCAATAACTGAATCAAATGCCAGTGTAAAATTAGAGCTCTTTATTCATCATCTTCAATGATAATGTTCATTTTACACAAAACAGTGTAATTCAATGCTAATCATAGGGCTGCTTGCCACAACAGGAATTCAGCGGCTTTGACAGATTCAACTGTCAACATGACTCAGATGAATTAACATTAATATGACTGAATATCTCAATGACTCTGAAAAACAAGCTGTGCAGTTCTTCCAGTTCAAACAAGTTCTAACAGGGAAGATATTTAGGTTAACAATTTAATTGTGGCTTACATGGTTTTACACATTGTTTATTACTTTTCTCTATCCTTATAGGGAATCACGTCTTTCTCTAAACTTTTTTTTTTGCTCATCTCAGAAAACGGAAACAAAGCACAATGATCTGTCTTTTTTTGACACATCAGGTCAAAGCTGGTTAAGAAATCTCTCTGCAATGTGCTGTAGTATAAACTTCACCCGGATCTCCACAGTGAGGTCTGGTACTTCATACCAACTGTGACACACTAGGGCACAGACTGAGCACCCGAGGTCACAGTTCACCTGTGATTTGCTAAAAAGCAAGAATTGATGATCTCAGCCACTGACAGATACTTCTAGTAATTTTTCTTTAAGCTACTGAAATTCAGTAGCTTATCTTTTGCAGAGGTAATTGATCAGCAACGCCACAGCTGCAGATAACAAAAAATGTTTTCTAACAGATGTTTTAAAAGTTCCTAGAGGATTCCAGTCTTGGTAAACTGGTAAAAATAAAAGCAACTCCAGTAGCCTTCATTTAAAGTAATAACGCTACAACAAACTCAAAATGTCTCTATATTTCAGTTAGATTTCATAATATGCATAATAATAAAATTAGGCTTTAAACATGCGTGGTAATCACACAAGCATCTTCGGTGTTAAGAATGTTGTTGATAATGATTAAAAAAAATAAATGTTTTTTGCCCTACAAATCTCAAAGACTCACATGTTCACTTAGAACCAAAGTGTAAGTGACTCATCACTGGATGAGACTTTTGGTTTAGTCGGTTACAGCCTTTAGCTTTACGCTAGGTACCGCTGAGAATCTTTCACATCTCAAAGGCAGCACGACTGCTTAAACTTAAAGACTATGTGTCAAAAATCCTGATGTATTTGTTTTAATACTTTAAAATATTGTGTGCTTTGTCTTTATGAAACTGTTTTTTCCTTTAAATATTTTCTTGCTGAGTCCAAGAGATTTAAGACGATGTCCACTCTCTAAACCTCTGCAACTTGGAGGTGGATCCAACCACTGAGTTTATTCCTCATTCTCATCTTCTCTGATCTTCACCTTCACTCTGTGCCAGGCGTTACTCAGGACCCCCCTCAGGTTCCAGATGGGAGGGACTGTGTCTGGCTGCATGTTGTAGCTGTTGTCAACTGCCTTGCAAACTATCTCTAGCTCCTGAGCTTCAGCAGGAAGAGGAGCCGTCACCTCCCAAAGCTTCCAGGCCCAGGCTTGTCCTGGTGGAGGTGAGGGTTCAGGTGCTTGTCCCTTGTCA